ACTGATTAGGTTGTTGGCCATCTGTACCACCTCCCCTCCCATACCGTCGAGCCCAATTAATAAATTACCGAAAGAAATGATGGCTAACAGTAAACCAAGTGAAAAAATAAAAGAGGTGACGTTTCTATTTCACAGAGGGTAAAACGATTAAACAGTTAAACTTTATTTGGCATTTTAAGTGAGTGCTATCAGTCAATTAGAATGCCAATCTGTGAGATCTGCATTCTAATGTTCTAATGTCATCTTCACCACAGTAGATAAAGTTATCTTACTCCAGTAACGTAATGGTCACCTGACCATGACCAGCGGTGTTATAACAACATTCATTGTCCTCGTTCTTTCCACTGTTGTAGGAGCCTCTTCCACTCCCACAAGAATCATCAAAACCATCTCTACTGCTTCCCCCAGAGTACCCTCCTCCTCCTCCTCCTCCTCCTCCTCCTCCTCCTCCTCCCCATCCATAAGCTCCACCTCCTCCACCAAACCCACCATCGGCAACGGAACTAATCGATCTGCCACCCACCGCTCCCTGAATAAATCCCTTACCGTCTTCTCTACCATTTCCCTTGGTTCCACCAAAATTCTTTCCACTTCTTCCACTGGAGTAAAACCCGCCACCACCACCACCACCACCACCACCTGAAATATGAGTATATCTTATGAGTTAGAAAACAAAAGCGAAACTCTGTTCGAATGGGGTGTTAACCCATTCGATTTTTGGAATTTTTTTAACCGTGTTCTATCGTATGGCCATACCTTTATGTAATGCAGTTTAATTTAGCCGCTATCCGTGATGTTTGATATTTGCATATAGCTGCTGTAATACCTGGTTGTATAATCTGTTTTATCTTACTTTTCCCGTCTCCAAGATATCATGAGTTAATTTGACACGTTACCTAAACCTATATTGCAGGATTATGGCTGATTATTACATGACCTGGCAGCCCCGCGCACGCAATCTTATAAACAAAAAGACGAAATGAGAGCTGACATGTATACTGTGAGGTTTTTGTTCTGACTAGAAAGGAAAGTTTTTACTGTAGAATCTCTTTGGTGGTTGTCCCACGTGCGCTCATATATCGCGTCTGATCATAGTTGAAAACAAATTTTGAAGTGGTTATATGATAAAATGCTTGTAGCATACGTTTGGGACGGGAAAATGTTTGGCTCTCGGTCCTGATTCACAGACCGAGGTGCAAGGAATCATAACGATATTCTCTTACCTGACCATCCATTATCAGAAGTCTGTGCACCACGTCCATTGCTCCCCCTGACCATGATTTGTATCCAGGGTTTCCTGTTGTGTTTTTGCACTCCTGCTTTTTCTCGCTGAAACCAGGTTTACAAATGCACTCAAAGGAGCTCTCGGTGTTTTGGCAAATTACATTTTCACCAGTGCAGTTATGGGCATTTGTAGCGCACTCATTAATGTCTGAAATCAAATTAAGGGAAATTCGATCGGAGTCTTTTAAAAAACAATAGGAGGGG